ACGTTGCGGATGAAGCTAAACTTGGATCTTGAACTTGAATTGCATAAGCTTCACCGACATTCCACCAACTTCCTTTGGATATGATCGTTGAAGCTCTATTCCATCCATCCTCCAATTCGTTGTTTGCCTAGAAAAAATACGAAAACACAAACACTAGACAAACAATATTAGAAGTAAATTATTTGTTAAACATCATCAAAATAAGAAGGCTAACAATGTCCTCCTTTTTGATGATGGCAAACAATTTACAAAAAGGATATATGCATGAAAGGAAATTAATATATAAAGTATAATATATCATGCATATAAGCAAGAAATGATATACTCACAATATTTCTCCCCATTTGACAACATCAAAAAGGGGAAAACCATATAGATGAAAGAGAGCGAAAGCTCCCCTTATCAATAAGCATGAGTGAGTATAACACATAGAAAGATATAGGGATTGCTCCCCCTATCAAAAAGCCATATAGAATATAAGCAATAAAAGGATCATGACAAACATATGAGCAAGCATACATGAATATGCTAAATATCACTCACATACAAAAAGATAACGAGAACACATATAAATATCTCAATATGAAAATAGTGTCTCATTAACAAAAACATAAAGATCAAAAATAGATTTATGAAATCAAAAGAAAAGGAACATGAAAATCATGTAAAAGGTTTTCAAATGAAAACAAATTAACCAATGAAATCATAAATCACAAGTAAATCATATAAGAACATAAAACCAAATCATCATTGATTTTAAAAAAAATCAAGAGAGACAACCATATCTAGCTCTTGAGCTAATAATAACCCATATAAATATTTTTAGCACCCGGTAAATAATGTTTGGGAATAAACACCCAATAACTCCGGAGGGTTATATAAACATAGTCCTCTCATCAAAACAAAAACAATAATCATGAAAACAAAAGATTTAATACAAGAAAAATTATTTTCATAACCAAAAGATTTTAAAGCATAATTTTCAAAACCAAGAAAAAGAAAGATAAAAATATTAAATTCTTGGTTTAAAAATCAAATTTGTTTTGGTACCCAAGAACTCTTGGTACCAAAAGATTTAGGGACATGACCCCTATCATTAAAGCTCAAAGCCCTAGGGTTATGAACCCGTTTAGGCGCATATGGTGCACTAGCACGGTCAAAACAAAAATTATACTTATGACCTTTCCGATTGTAATTTGTGCAATGAAAGAGATCAAATGATTTGTGTTGACCAAGTGGGCGTGCACGAGAATCATTTGCAAATAAAGATTTTTCTTTTAAATTATTTCGCAAATGAGAAACACCATTAAACAAAGATGGTTTCTTTAGAGCATTTTGCAAAATAGGAACTTTTTGCATATCAAAACAAAATTTAGCAAGATGTTCAAACCTACCACAGACATCACGTTTAAAAACATGTGGTCTACTAGAAACATTTGACAAACGTGATTTTCTTTTCAAATCAAAACAATATTCGGCCAAATGACCAAAACGACCACAATGATCACACTTGAACACACTAGCATGCTTATGATGAACTTTGTGAGAATGAGCATGTGAATGTGTAAGTGTAAAAGATGAAGAAGCTACATGAGATGCACAAGGAGCATTAGAATTCTTATGTTTGTGTGCATCATAGTAAAATTTAGATAAATGACCTTTTCGGCCGCAAATAGAGCATTTGTAAATTTTACTATATATGTGTGCATGATGAGTAGATGATGACTTAGACTTGGCACACATATCCATAAACCTCTTATGATTATTAATGTATGTTTTCAAAGTTGAATCTAAAGATGAAATGCTTTTATTCATAAGATTCATGTTTTCAAAGTTGAATCTAAAGATGAAATGCTTTTATTCATAAGATTCAAATCTTCATTTTTAGACACATATGCATTTTTAGAAGTAGAACTTTTATTCATAAGATTCAAATCTTCATTTTTAGACACATATGCATTTTTAGAAGTAGAACATAAATAGTCATTTATAAAGGAAACAGTATTATTTTGTATATTTTCTACTTCTAAGTTGGCATTATTTTTATCATGAGTCAAGTTAGCAATATCCAATTTCAAATTTTTATTTTCCAAATTTAACATATCATTGTTTTCTTGAAGAGCAATACTTTCTTGAGAAATGATATTAAATTTGGAAGCTAACTTCTCATGATCGGATTTTAAATCTTCATGCTATATGTCAATTAAAATTAATTAACAAGTTATCCTAGCAAGTTTGAAATACCACAAGAATTATGAGCTAGGATAAGCAATGTAAACAATGAGATATATCCTAACAAGGAGATATAGGCAATGTATGCGCAAGGATATATAAACTAACACAAGGGGTAAACAATCTAAACAAGATAGTGGATGATATAGATAATGAGCTAATTACAATGGCGATATAAGATATGAACATAAATATGAATGAACGCCAAAGCACACTCAAACAAGCAATATGATCACGGAGTTCGGACCTTCCGTCCTACGTCTCCGCTCCCCACTCCCGGGGAGAAATCCACTATCAACCGGGTTTTCTAACGTTCACCCGAATAACGTTTACACGTCACAATATCGGTTTTCAACGCTCACTGATCAACGTCACTCCTCACAATCGGTTTTCTAGTTCACCGAAAACTTCACAACACACTCGGTTTTCTAGCTCACCGAAAACCTTACAACACTCACAATGTAACAAATATAAATTTGTTCTCTACAATAGATGAGAACACAATTAGGCACAACTCAATGTTACAATCTCTCACAACCCT